GCTTTAATTTCACCAATCTGTGTATCCAAGACCCTCATCTTTTTTTGTTTTCTTTTTAATAGGAGCCTCAATAATTCTAGCCCCTTCTCGTGGAAGAAACTAAACCATTCTTCAGTAGATTCCTCATCTAGCAGTCCATCTGCAATTGGCACATCCCATCGCAAGCGTCTAGGAATTAATCTATCCTTAAGATCTCTGACGCTTTCAAAAGACATATTTCCTCATATCCTGGGGTATTGCAGAGGGCTACAGTCCTGACCTTTTGGGGGTCTGCAGAGTGCGCAGAGGGGATGGCTGGGGAGGCTCGGTCCCCCTCACCCGAGCCTCCCAGCATCTTTCCGGGAGCAAGATGATTCCAGCAGCATGGACAGGAACAGAGAGAGGAGGGCTGCTTCCTGTGCGAGACTTTTGAAAACCAAGTGGGACGCGGCTAGTGGGACGCGCCTCATATCACTTCCTCACTACCTGTCACAGTTTCGGAGAACCTAAAATGCCAGAATAGTGCAAACACCTTTTATTGTGTGTATATATAATTCTGGAATTCAGTTCTAAGAAGTTGCTAATTTTCAAGTTCAGTGCTTAGTCTTAGGCCTCTCCACGTTAATCCTTTATCAGCTTCACTGCTGTAGAAAGCTGTGACTCTACTGTTACATAGTTTGAAAAAAGACACAAGTTCATCTAATTCAACCAACAGAAAAAAAAAGCTATAAAAAAAAAGCCCTTGATCCCCCAAAAGCAATTGGGTATTCCCTGGATCAGCAATCTTTTTTTCTCTCTATCATTACCTCTACATTTTAACTCCTTCATGACAAAGGTAAAACAAATCTTAAGCTGGCTACACCTTTCCACAATTTTCTTGTTCAATTTCCTTTAGATTTACTTTAAACTATGTAGTGCAAGGACCTGCCTGATTGCATACAATTTGAAAGTGTTTAGGTTTGACCTCCATATTGTATGGTTTTGATAAATGTAAAAGACCTTGTACAAAAAAATGTATAATGTGTAGCCAGCTTTATTGGCAGTGCCTTGAAATCAGTTTTACATTTTTGACATGTCTTAGTACATATCCTCACAACCGTTTAATGCATCTGAGTGAATTATACCTTGTTTTTTTTTTTTTTTTTTTGCAGGAAAACTTAGGCCTTCATTTGGTGGTAAATGTTAATTGATATCTCCTTGATTTTTTTTTTGATTATTAAAGAAAATGGCCCAAAATTGTAAAAATAGAAAATAAAATAATTTAAATTTAGCTGTATATTTCTTGATTTCTTGTTATTATCATGACCTACCACCAAAGAACATCCCAAAACAAATTCTGCTGCTGATGATTGCAGCCATACCTTATATGTATTTATGATGTTCTTTGTTGTTATACCTGTAGCAGGACCCCAAAACAATAGTGCACATTTTGTTTTTGTTTTTTTTTTTAATCCTGCTTAAACACGTGGACACTATCTGACTCTAAAACTAAAATTTTTTTTTTTAATCCCACCTAAAATATGTTTGACCCTAACCCTGGCACTGACTTAGAGCAGGTCCTGTTCTAGCTATTTTACCTTTATTTCACAAATGATGTTTAAAATCTTCTCCTCTAGCAAGAATAAAAAAAGATACAATCTTTATATCCATTCAAGATGTGAAAGGCTACAGGGGTGCACTGTACACTGGCTGATCACTGTTATAGCCAATCACAGGAAATCATGATCGAAAACTGGTCCTCCGGGCTCATGATCATTAGTATGAGACCAGGAACCAGACACTTGGGTCTCTGTGCAAGGAGTGTGCTGTGCAGCACGCTCACAGCCCAAACACAGGTACGCATATACTGTATGTGGCCCCATGGAAAAAGACCCACTTTAGCAAGGCCGTATATGTGTGCATGATGAGCAGGAAATAGTTAATATCCACTGTATTGTAATTTTATCAGCTGTTTACTACAGCATTTTAAAAACAAGCAAAATGAAGTCCATGCTATTGTAAAGCTGATAAAAGGCTGCACATGAAAACCTAGGAGCGTAAAGTTATGTTTTCTCTCGTTTGTAGTTGCAGAGTTTAATTCCTTTCACCCAGCTACTGCCAAGTGAGAGTGTTTGTGAAGAGTATGGAATAAATCATACAGAGCTACCTGATGGTTTCTACAAGTGAGTTCAGTCAAATTGCTGACCCAATATAAAGCATTTTTTATTATCTTCTCACAGTTTAAATTATATAAATTATATGTGCAAGTGATTATTATTATTATACAGGATTTATATAGCGCCAACAGTTTGCTCAGCGCTTTACAATATAACGGGAGACAATACAGCAACAATACAGTTCAATACAAGAGGGATAGGAGGGCCCTGCTCCTTGGAGCTTACAATCTAGGAGATCATTTTAAGTGGTTGTAAACATTAATTTTTTTATTCAAATAACAAACATGTTATTCTTATTAGCTCTGTGCAATGGTTTTGCACAGAGCACCACCAAACCTTCTACGGCACTCTTGGCTCCTACCCTCTTTGAGTGCCCCCATGTTCACTCCCGAGCCGGCTCTGCGTGTCCATAAGACACACAGAGCACGGCTTGGCCCAGCCCCCACTCCCTCATCACTGGCTGTGATTTACAGAAGCTGGAACCAATAGCTCCTGCTCCTGTCTCTGAGCCAATGAGGATGGAGAGAGCTGAAAGGATCATGATCGAGCTCAGGTAATTATTAGAGGTGCTTCAGAACTTTACCACTTTAAAGCGCATCTAAACCCCAAAACAAAAATGTAATATAGTGCAGCTTACTAGTCCTTCAATGTGGTGGCTGCAGTTTTGTTTTCCTTTTTTCAGTCTTTGTTTCACCTGGTGATCCTGCCAGTAACACACTAGAGCGACTTACTCCCTACACGTCACCCTAGGCTGCTCTTCCAGACACCGTTTCTCTCTTAAACTCCATTTCATAGGTGGTGTCATGTAGTTCACAGAAGATAGTAAAGAAGACTGATAACATTGTTTAGTATTTCTGTTCAGTGCACAAGATTTCTGCCAAGATCAACATGTATTCTTCTGTACTTGCAGAAAATGCACTTAACTTGATGCTGCCACTATATCTAACAACAACATATAAACTACAATATAGTAAATGTTTATTCTTGGGTGGATAGGTATAATTCAATGTAAATCATCCTAACAATGTATGTTTAAAAACTGTTTCTATTTAGAGTTTATTATTTTTATTATTATTTTATGTGCATTAGATCAGAAAACTATGCTTATTAGATATTTGGGCTGTGCTTCCTACTTAGCACTGCACAGTGACCCTGTCAGCAGGGAGAGGAGCCCAGAGCTCCTGCAGGGAACCCAAGAAGAGAAGGTAAGTATAACAAGTTTTTTTTTTTTTTTTAAGGCCTTTAGTATCACTTTAAGCCCTTGCAATGCAAAACTGGCCTACCCTGTACAAGAGGTTTTGTTTTTCAACTTTTTATGACCTAAAACTAGGTTTTGTGAACCAAAACATAGCTAATGTGCAAAAAAAAAGTGTACAACCACCTGGTAGTTGTACAGTTATTTTTTTGTATTAATGATGTTATTACAACTATGATCTATGTAAAAAATACACTGTTAGGTTTTTATTGCTGTCTGTACCCTGCTAAGGAAATTAGTTGTTGTTTTTTTTTCTGTTTGGCTTGATGATCATTGTCATAGAGAAGAAATGTGATGGGAAATTCAAAATGTTAGAGTAATAACAAGAGAAAGAGATAATGGTAAATCTTCCAATGGAGACACCTGTTCCTACTCTCTCTCTCCCTTGTCTCCTCCTCCCATGCTTGTCTCCAGAACTTCTCCAGAGCCTCCCCCCATCCCCTGAATTCTCTACCCCAATTTATCAGACTATCGCCTACTCTGCTGTCTTCAGGGAAGCCTATCCTTCCTTCAGCTAATAATGGAATTTTCTATTCCTCCTACCAGTCCATCCCCCACAGTTATTACCTTGTGTACCCCTAGCCCCTCCCTCTTAGATTGTAAGCTCCAAGGAGAAGGGCTCTCCTAACTCTCTGAACTGTATTGTTGCTGTATTGTCTCCTGTTATATTGTAAAGCGCTGAGCAAACTGTTGGCGCTATATAAATCCTGTATAATAATAATAATATAATAATTGACAACAATCTAAGAGGGAAGTTCCTTCTGCTTTGCAGAGATTTCCTACCATTTTGTGTTGTTTCTTAAACAGGAAGTGAAGAAAATGTCCTAAATGGGACACAACAAAAAATAAATTAACGGGGGTTGTAACCCTTCCATATTCTATAAAAACAAAAAAAAAAATTTTTTTTTGCTATTCTTACACTTTAAGATGCAGAGAAATTTCACTTATCTGTGAGAGTTTTTATTGATCACATAGTGCATTCCTCATTGTTGGCATTTTATTTTAGTATTACAGGATATTTATCTCATTGCGATCATGGTGTGGGAAGAAGTGCAACAGACAGGCAGTGTTTCTTTATCAACCAACGGCCATGTGATCCTGCTAAGGTAACCTGCTATTGATTGGCTTGCACATAGGCTTTACATCTTGCGTCTCATTGTCTTTTTTTTACATCAGTTGTACAAGGAATACTTAAATATTAAATACATTTTATTCATACATTTTTATAAAATGTAAGTGTTTTTTCTTGTGAATTTATCTATTTTCTATACATGCAACAAAACACTTGCCAGAAAATCAGTTTGTTCACTACTTTCTGTGTAATAAACTGAAATCTCAAAAAATGTTACCAACTTTCACTATTTTTCATTTTTTAACTACAGAACCCCTCTCACCTATGTTATGGAGAAAGGAGGTGTTTGTGGTCCAAATCAGGAGAGCTGCAGAAAGACAGTGCCGTTCCTCCATAGATACATTACAATGAGCCACCGCATCTACGTTTCTGATGAGCATACACTTTTCTTTTTGGGTTTAGATGTGTTTTAACTTCTCATTCATTTCCTTTTGCTTTCTTTCATCAGGTTTCCAAGGTAGTGAATGAGGTGTATCACATGTTCAACAGACATCAGTATCCATTTGTTGTTCTCAACATAAGCGTCAATTCTGGTGAGATGTTTTCTTGCTTTGCAGTACAGCCACTTATTTTAGCAATATAGAATCTCTTTTGCAATTAAAAAAAAATGTTTTGCTCCCCATTCCTCAGTTAATTGGAAAGCTTGGTTTATTTACAAATAGGGACCCTCAACTCTTTGAGAACTGCAGTTCTCAGACTAAAGAATTTTTAGTTAGAAAAGAAAATGAATCACTGAAGCTTACTCTTTAACCTGTTCCCGACCACGCTATAACCAAAAGATGATTACACCGCGGTTGGCTAGTTGTGGGAGGGCATCCATGGACGTCCTCCCAGAACCAAACCCCCTAGCTGAACACAAGACTAAGGAACAGGCCAATCACAGCCGTTTTTACCATGTGACCAGCTGTGTCCAATCACAGCTGTTCACTGTGTAAATAGGAAATGCCAGTTATTGTCAGTCCTCTCCTCCTGCTGACAGCGAGTGAGGAGAGGAGAGCAGGTAAGTGGCATTCCGCAGGGGGATATCCACACTGATCATCAGGGTACTGATCATCCGTGTCTTGATGATCAGTGTAAGCCCCATCAAGTGCGGTCAATAGTGCTCATCTGTGCTGGCAATCAGTGCTCATCAATTGAAATAAGTGACCATCAGTGCCTATCAGTTGAATCTATGTCACCTAACAGTGCCCATCAGTGCTGCCTATCAGTGCCACCTGTCAGTGCCCATCAGTGAAGGAGAAAAATTACTTATTTACAAACCTTTATAACAGAAACTAAGAAAAACATTTTTTTTCAAAATCTTTGGTAGAGATGAGCGAATCGAACTAGGCGAACCGGAATTCGAGTCGAATTTCAGGAAATATTCGATTCGTGTCGAAACCGAAATTTTGCCTACTTCGGGTGCGCGAATCGAACATTTCCCGATCAGCCGGCAAAAGTGTCCCTGCAGTGAGCTCCGCTATTTCTGACAGTTCTCTGACAGAAGGAACACATGTTTAGCGGTTGAAACATTGTATCTATTAGTTTACATTTAGGATACAGATGTTTCAACCACTGTACATGTGAAGAAGTTGTGAGAGAACTGTCAGAAATAGAGGAACTCTGCACATACACTTTTTGCCGGCTTGGAATTATTCTTCTTTTCATCCTACTTCTTCTTCTTCTTCATCCTCAGAAGAACTGACATTTCTCTCACAGGGTACAGCGGTTGAAACAGGGGATCCTAAAGAAGGAAACTAAAGAGATACAAGGTTTTGGATCTATTAGGTTTCCATTTAGGATACAGATATTTCAACCGCTGTACAATGGAAGAAGCTGTGAGAGAACTGTCAGAAATAGAGGAACTCTTGCACATACACTTATTTGCCGGCTTGGAATTATTCTTCTTTTCATTCTTCTTCTTCTTCCTCATCCTCATCCTCATCCTCATCCTCTTCTTCTGAGGATGAGGATGAAGAAAAGAAGGGAAGAAGAAGGTAGGAAGGAAAAGAAGAATAATTCCAAGCCGGCAAAAAGTGTATTGCAGAGTTCCTCTATTCTGCAGATACACTTAGAGGAGCTCTGCAGATACACTTAGAGGAGCTCTGCACATACACTTTTTGCCGGCTTGGAATTAATCTTATTTTCATCCTACTTCATCTTCTTCTTCTTCTTCTTCATCCTTCATCCTCAGGGGGGAAATAAAGAAGAGGAGAGGATGAGGATGAGGAAAAAATGATGTTCAGAAATGGAAGGAAGAAGAGGTAGGAATGAAAATAAGAATAATTCCATACCGGAAAAAAGTGTATGTGAAGACATTCCTCTAAGTGTATCTGCAGAGAATGTCCTCTAAGTGTATCTGCAAGAATAGAGGAACTCTGCACATACACTTTTTGCCGGAAACCGCTGTATGGAGTGAATGTCCCCAGAACTGTCAGAAATAGACTATTTATGACAGTTCTGGGACATTCACTGCATACAGCTGTTTACCGGACCGCTGTATGGAGGGAATGTCATGGGAACTGTCAGAAATAGACTATTAATGACAGTCTGGACTGTGTCCTTCATGCAAGCGGTTGAAACATTGTATTATTTGGTTTCCATAAATGGATCCATTTTATGGAAACAAATACATACAATGTTTCAACCGCTGCATGGAAAGGACAGTCCCAGGTACACAACTGTCATTAATAGTCTATTCCTGACAGTTCCATGACATTCCCTCCATACAGCGGTTACGCAAAAACAGCTGTATGGGAGTGTAATGTCCCAGATCTATCAGAAATAGACTATTTATGACAGTTTTCTGGGACATTCACTGCATACAGCTGTTTTAACCGCTGTATGGAGGGACAATGTCATGGAACTGTCAGAAATAGCGACTATTAATGAACAGTTTCTTGGGACTGTCCTAAATCCAAGCAGCGTTGAAACATTTGTATCTAATTTGTTTCCATAAATGGATCCATTTATGTAAACAAAGACATTACAATCGTTACAAACCCGCTGCAGAAGGAATTAGTCCCCACAACTTGTCATTAATAGTCTATTCTGACAGTCTTCCATGACATTCCCTCCATACAGCTGGTTAAAACCAGCTGTAATGGAGTGAATGTCCTTCCTAGAATCTATCAGAAATGACTATTTATGACAGTTCTGGAGTGGGACATTCACTGCATACAGCTGAATTAGAGAAGAAGAAGAACCGCTGTAGGGAGGAATGTCCAGAATAACTGTCTAAGCCGCAAATAGACTGTATTAAATGACAGTTCGCTGGGACGGTCCCTTCATGCAGCGGTTGAAACATTGTATGGATTTGTTTCCATAAATGGATCCATTATTGAAACAAATACATACAATGTTTGAAACACATACCGCTTGCATGGGAAGGACATTTCCCATCCAACTGTCTTAATAGTCTATTTCTGACAGTTCCATGACATTCCCTCCATACAGCGTTAAAACAGCTGTATGGAGTGAATGTCCCAGATCTATCAAAATAGACTATTTATGACAGTTCTGGGAACATTCACTGCATAGCAGCTTGGAGTTAAAAAACCGCTGTATGGAGGGAATGACGTCATGGAACCTGTCAGAATAGACTGATTAATGACAGGCTGGGACTGTCCTTCAATGCCGCGGTTGAAACATTGTATGTATTTGCTTTCCTTCCATAAATGTCATCCATTATGGAAACAACTACATCTAAATGTTTTCAACCGCTGGCATGGAAGTACAGTCCCAGAACTGTTCATTAATAGTCTATTTCTGACAGTGTCCAATGACATTCCCTCCATACAGTTGGAGGTTAAAACAGCTGTATGGAGTGAATGTCCCAGAAATCTATCAGAAATTGACTAGTTATGACAGTTATCTGGGACATTCACTGCATACAGCTGTTTTAACCCGCTGTATGGAGGGGAATGTCATGGAACTGTCAGAAATAAGACTATTAATGACATGTTCTGGACTGTCCTTCCAATGCAGCGGTTGAAACATTGTATGTATTTTGTTTCCATAAATGGATCCAATTTATGGGAAACAAATACATACAATGTTTCAACCGCTGCATGGAAGGACAGTCCCCAGAACTGTCATTAATAGTCTATTTCTGACAGTTCCATGACATTCCCTCCATACAGCGGTTATTTTTTTTGTAATACAGCTGTATGGAGTGAATGTCCCCAGATCTATCAGAAATAACTATTTACAGACAGTTGCTTGGGACATTCACTGCATACAGCTGTTTTCAAAAAACCGCTGTAAGGGAGGGAATGTCATGGAACTGTCAGAAATAGACTCTATTAATGGACAGTTCTAGGGACTGTCCTTCAATGCAAGCAGCGGTTGAAACATTGTATGTATTTCCTTTTCCATAAATGATCCATTTATGAAACAAATACATTACAATGTTTTCAAACCGCTGCTTAGGAAGGACAGTCCCCAGACCACACTGTCATTAATAGTCTATTTCTGACAGTTCCATGACATTCCCTCCATACAGCGGTTTTTTCTTTCCTTTTCTCAAACAGCTGTATGGAGGTGAATGTCCCAGATCTATCAGAAAAATAGACTATTTATGACAGTCTTCTGGGACATTTCACTGCATACAGCTCCTTTTTAAAACCGCTGTCTGCATCCTTCTCCTTCTTCTCTCATCCTGTCTCCTTCTCTATATCCTTATAAATGACAGTTCAGGGACCTTCTCCTGCTTCTCATGCATCTCCTTGAAACATCTCTATCCTATCTTCCTTCCATACAACTGGATCGCATTCTTCTTCTCATCAAATAACATACAAATGTCTTCAAAAATCTCCTTCTTCTCATCCTTCTTCTTCTCATCCTTACATCTCCTTCATCTCATCCTTCTCCTTCTGACCTTCTTCTCATCATGACATCTCCCTTCTTCCTACATCGGTTCTCCTTCTTCTGGATCCTTCTCCTGTCTCCTTCTCAGATCTATCAGAAATAGACTCTTTATGACAAGTCCTTCTCCTTCATTTCACTGCATACAGCTGTTTTAAAAAAATAAACCGCTGTATGGATGGAATGTCATGGAACTGCTCAGAAATAGACTATTAATTACAGTTTCTTGGGACTGTCCTTCAATGCAGCGGTTGAAACATTGTATGTATTTGTTTTCCATAAATGGATCCCCATGTTCATGGAAACAAAATACATACAATGTTTCAAACCGCTGCATGGAATGACAGTTCCCCAGAACTCGTCATTAATAATCTATTTCTGACAGTCTCCTCCATGACCATTCCCTCCCATAACAGCGTGTAAAACACGCTGTATGGAGTGTATGGTCCCAGATCTATCTTCAGAAATAACAACTTTTATGACAGTTCTGTGAACATCTTTCACTGCATACAGCTTTTTAATCCTTCGCTGTAATGGAGGGAATGTCATGGAACTGTCAGAAATAGACTATTAATGACAGTTCTGGGACTGTCTCCTTCCAATGCTGCGGTTGAAATCCTTCTCCTTATCCTTCCTCCTTACCGCATCCAATGGACCATTTTAAATTTACAAGGTACATAACAGTGTT